ACATAAAAGTGATGCTGCTAGCAATTTACCACAACAAATTGCATGGAACCATTTGTAGACACTATAAAGAATTCTAGATTTTTTTTGTATTCCAAATTGATCAGCGCAATGCGTTACTTATTTATTTAACCCCCAGTTTTAGATAAAGGTCAACCAAAGACATAATTATTGCCATTGTGCCTCCGCCGCTGATCTAGACCCTGGGTCATGCCAGCAAATCCTACCCCTACTGAAAGTCAACAATCCGGCTTCTGCCCTGCCATTATAAAATTTTCCGTCTTTGGGAAGGTATCGAGGTGGTAAATTAGACAAAGCTATTACAACACCATGGCTGTTAAAATGTTAAAATCCCATAGTGATTTTCTCTCTGGGGGTGGGAGTGGCAGTAAGACATTAGTCTCAAGGTTGCAAAAAATGTGATTAGAAATCTACATATATATATCATTTTACACGAACAGCTCCCTAAATGAAATAATAGCCCACTGTCGCATTATTTGACATCATTATAACCATAGGAAGACATGTCAAGCCAACTCTTAATCTTCACTAGCATCATTGTTTCAAACAAAGAAATCTTAGAAAGTCTGCAGACGTCACAAAATCAAACTATGGCCAAATGGGTATTTTTACTAAAGATAACGGCTTGTTTATTTGCACTTTTGAGTGACCGCTGCCCTTGAATTGGTGTTTCTACGTCGTACGAAATTGCCTTCCAGAAATCTTCATGTGCTCTACTGAGAGTGCTACGAAATTTCAAAATATTATAGCTGGAGCTTGAAACCGATATGAATTTGGAGAGTTCTCAACACAAATCACCTAGTCCTCGAGCCTGCACTGAAGTTAGTTCGTTGCAGAAGAACAAAACAAGGAACCGTGAAGGTTTGGTGATCTTTTATACCAATAATTTTATTTTAAAGCACTTGAACGAGGTCTTTTATGCAGACGTCCTGTAAAAGAACTTGTTGGTCAGGGGATTTTGCTCAATCGTAACGTCCTTGTTTGTTTGACTTCGGATTTTAGCTTCAATATGTAATGCTCTCAAGGTAAAGGAGTTGCAGCGGGCCAAGGTAGATGCTTTGAAATTATTTAATTTTGTAGACGGCGGATATCTTAAAGCGCAAAATTGAAAGGCGCCCAGATAGGCAGGTTCTGATAAGCCGACGAATACTTAAAGGTAACATGGACTTTACATCGCATAGAACTGTTTTTAGCAAGTGAAGCAGGTGCATCGCCGTTAATTCAAGAGCGGTGCAACACCTTAACAAAAAATCAATTGCGTGAGTCCTTAAATAGCAAGCTTGAACGAAGGCCCGGTAGCTTAGAACTTGTCGAGAAGGGCGTTTTGAAGGTATATCTTCTGCCTTTAACCATTTTTCCGAAATCTATTTGCATTTGTCAGTTTCAAACCAATAACTTAACTATGTCGATCATGAGTTGGGGATATGTTACGACCTGTAGGTGGATCCGGGTGTTGCAACACTCATTCGCGGTGGATCGATTCCATATCCCCGTGTATCTTCTACGTCTCCAGCCTTGTTATTTACAGTCCCTGAAGACGAACCAATCACGCAGCCTAATCCTCCACCAGCTCCTCCCCCTCCCGATACGTTAAAAACGCCCTTTTCTGCTTCTCGATCCACTGTGACCAAATCGCGCACCCCTAGCCGGTCTCTAAAGGATGAAACCGTGATTAGTCGGTACGGATCACTTGTGTTCCACAATTACTGTCCCTCTTCTGCTGCCTCATCTAACTCGCCGAGCCTTCGGATCAATGGTTCTACCAACGCTACCACCGCCAGCACGACCGAGCGCCTACCAAAGCATCGGGCTAGGGAGGTTCAACAAGCGGAATTGCTACACTTGGAGGATGCAGCACAGGCTCATAGACGTCTAGGTCAGGAGATTTGCCAAATGAAGGGTCGTCCCCCCCATAAAATTGCTCAGGCTACCCAGCTCAACCCAGTGTTTCAACCGGTTGTGATCGCCCAGCAACCCCAGCAACCGTCGCCACACCGATGCTTCGTGCTCTCGAGTCCAGCCCATTCCCTTCAACAGACAGTGGCGCTGCCTTCACCACCATCTTTGTCCCCACCACCGCCTCCTCCTCCGCCACCTCCTCCTCCGATTTCGCAAACATTCCCTACACGGCTCTTTCCCACCGGCCACGTTTTCGGTACGTACACGGTCTCATTCTTTAGACGCTTAGCAGATAGCACGTAAGTGCAATTTGCCTATACATTGTGTAGCCTTGTGTGCAACTGCATGCAAATTAATTAACCTTCTGCTCCCATTTATGTGCAGAAATGCGTGTTATTGTTAGTAGTCCTGTTTCTTGGCTTATCTTTTGCTCTATTTGATATCCTTATAACCCTGTTGGCTAATTGATCTAATTTTTCTGTTTTTGTGATCCATATTCGGCGTTTTATTTTACCTACAGCAACTGTCTAGGCACGCCTGCTTGCGTTATTTTTGTTCATGCCTGTATTCTGGATTCCGAAATGTTCTTTCTCCAGGCATTGTTTGTATTTGATTTCTTCCATATTCATCCACAGAGAGGTTGAATTAATTCAGTTAAATCCACTTGCTCAAAGCAGTAGGGGTGTGTGTGCAAACAATTCAGGCGGTATGTCTAGCATTCGATTTCGTTGCTCATCTCCTGATGAGAAATTGTCGTAAATACTACTGGAAACCATACTTAATGCTCACAATTGTCAACATATGTTTAACTAGTTCTCTAACTGGTCTGTGTTGCGGTTAACTTATGGTGTAGGATTTTAGCCGTATTCTCACAATACAGAAAAGGCTTCCTCTTTCACTGTGGAGATAGGTAAAGAAGGTATGAATTGTTTCATTGATCAGTGGGATTGATTTAAGCGTCCGGCGTGGGGCCAACTGACAAAGCTGGGCGTTTGGCGTGTGTGACCCGGTGCATGGATGGCGTCGTCTTCGTCATTGGGTGCTTGGCCTCGCTTTCCCTTTTCCCCTCTGTGGATCGCCGTTGCGTGCCAATGTGTGCATGTGTTTATGCGTTCACCGATGCCTTCGCTATTTCTCCCGGGCCCAGGGCGAACTATTTCAGCTTTTGGCCACACTCCCTGTGAGCGTTAATAGCTGATACTATGGGGCAACATCTTTGGCAAAATAGGTATCCTTGGTACTGCTAACTCATGGCTTGGGAGTATCAATGCCTCCTTGTTCAAATTTGATAGTTCAAGGCCTACTTTCTCTGACATTCAACAGCCTCTCCATGATAGTTTGATTTTGTATAATTCGTCACACCTCTTTTGAGTCTAGTTACAGTCTCACTTGATCTCAACTACTTAGAATCCGATTGATTTCGTTGCAATTTTGCGAGTGGATCCAACCGTAATATGCCCGGAGCATGCCTTTTGTTTTGATATCGTTAAAATGTTAGAGGCTAACTTTAAAATTACTCCTTAGCTCTGTGCGTGAACAGGTCAACCAAAGTGGGTGGTTATTTGCAGTTTAATGTCTTTTATTTAGGTACATAACGGTCAATCCTTTGGGGCGAAATGCACACCCCTCGTGGGACAAATGTGATTTCGGAGTGTCAGCATTTCCTTGGTCCTACCTAATACATAATGCTCAATTTCGGTTCTCCAAGGTTCCAAATAACTTCCCATCATATTTACACCTGTATTCTCACCTTGGATACTGTTTTTTTCAGTTTAATACCTTTCTAATAGAACTTACCAGAGAGTTCCCTTATGGACGGTTGTTCTCATTTAACTTCAATGTTTTCAGCTTTGAACTTATTGAAGCTACCATTTGTGCAAAGTAAATACCCTCGTATGTTAAACGACGTTTTGGAATGTCAACTATTCCTTCTTCAACTTTTCCTTCAATTTGGTCACCCAAACCTTCATTTTTTGCTATTTTTAGTTCGTCTCTTCTCTTTCGTCGTTTGGTTTGCATTTGATTCCTGGTTCTTGTTTTACACACTTCCTTTTGGCACGTATAGGTTGATACTACCGGAATCATTACTGCGATTTGCCGTTCATTTAGTAAGATTTTCTGCAGTCTATCGGTTATTAGCTTTCCCCACGCTTTATGCATCTATATCAGTCTTTCCTGCGTTAGTTTTCAAAATTTCAACTTGCTTCTTTCGAATAGTTCTAACTGAAAGTTTTTTCCGTGTCAAAGTTTGACGTTCCCTTTTAGTCGGATTAATATCGCTCCTCACCTTTCTCGCCAGTAACAGTCTGGTTCTGCGTTGGCATCAGTTAAGCGACCACCGTTCTTAGGGTCATATAGTTATTAGCACTGCCTTCTACTCACTATTCACCTTATCCCAAATAAGCGGTAATGGTATAAAGTCCCGTATTTTTTCTTGTTCAACTTCGCTGTTGTTCACTACAGCGTCTTAGCGGACTTTGCACCTGGGAGTGATTAAGTCGTTTGCGTTGTCCTTGTCTGCGCAACTGCGATTTGGTTGCGACCTCTGTAATGGCTTGTATTTTACAAGGAACTAGTTTTGTAAGGTGCCAAATCTTAACAAGACCTTTCATGCATACCCGCTTCTGTATTCTAGACTCTGTTTGACGTATTCAAGTCATCATTCCTGCTAGCATTTCATGTTTCCTGTCTCATAATATCCCTTCATTCTTTTGGCATCTGGCTTTAAAGTTTCTGCCTGATATGTGTGTGCGTAGGTGGTGAATGCCACTTGACACTGCATAGGGTTTGCGGGATTTCGTGCCGCCCTTAATTGCCCCTAATGACACATTCCGCGCTTGTGCCCGCTTGCAGCACGCCAGTCAAATACTTCACTTAGTGCTATTTAAATTTCAGAGAACGGCAGTACCGCTGTAGTAACCCTGCGCAATGGTCGTTCGGCAGCAGAAGCAGTGAGTCAGCAAACTCAGACCCAGGCTCGACAGCAGCACCAAGTTCTGGGCTTGACTCCCGCTGCCTCACTCTTGACGACCATTCGGTCGACCACTTCTGCCGAGCCTGTAGAAAAGGTTGCCTCTCTGGAGGAAATCGAATCCGTGTGGCTGGATCTTCGGCGTCTTCAACAGGATATCACTGAGGTGGGTATGAGTCTGATCGACCAATTCGTCTTGTTCATTCTACCTTAATGCCTTTTGCCACGTGGATTCTGGTCCTTTGTCTCTTGTGTTAGCAAAACCTTGGCTGAATCCCAAATCTAATGCTATCTCTGTGTGGTAGTTATCCCCAAGTCAGCCCCTGCCACCAACATAACATAAAAAACAACTTCATCTTAGTCTTTCATAAATGTGCTCAATTGTCATCGTGCTCGAGATGTGTGTGATGGTAAATCCCACGGAATCGCCATGCTCTATACACCGACTTATATCCTCTGCCTTTGTCCCAGCTTTTTGAATGTCAGTGGCAGTGTATTGGATTACTCAACGGGAAGGCAGACTTTGATAAGCCTTTAAGTAATCGGATGTATGCTCTTTTCATAAAATCACGAAGGAATGTCATTTACTTTGGTTTTAATTCTTTTTGCAATTTAGGTGTCGAACAAATTTGTGTTTTTCGACACCGTTAGCCTTGAGACTATTCCTTAACTTACTTGCATGGTGTTGTTTCGGCTAAAAGTCAACTTGTGGTGGCATATGATCACAGAATAACAATCCACTGCCCTTTTTAACATCCAACTCACTTTCGTCAATTAAATCAAAGAGCACTTAGATGCGTACTGCTTGTGCCCTGTAAAACTCGGTTACTGCGCAGAAGGCGCCTCTTTCAACTAAGGTTACCAAAAGTGGTTTCAGGCGAAGTGAGGCGCATAAAAATAAAAGGTGTGTTTTAGTGGCCGACGAAAGTCACCGAATGCTGTATGGTTTCTTTGTCGCTGGAATCCGACTTCGATGCCTCATTTGTGTCAACATTTCTTGTGATAGGCAGTCCGAACAATGCCTAAGTGCGTCAATGATGCTTCCCAGTTTTTTTAAGGGCAGAAGACCTCAATAATGCCTGAGTTTTTTTGGAAGTGAAAACTTTCTGCTTCTCTTGTTAGCGTTTTTATTTTTAATACTTCACTTTTCCATTCCAATGCACTTACCACTTCTCTTCCGTCTGAATCACGTTCTGCGACAGAGTAGTCCTTCCAATTTCTCAAATAATCCCTTAGAACACAGATAGCTGAGTTACTTTCACCAGCTTCAACATTTTTCGCCTTTCCTTTATTTAAATTTATTTTTCTTTTGGCAAACGTCCCTCGGATTTGATTTTGATTCGGCGTAACTTGCATTTTTGCCCTCTCCCTCCATGGGATTCAGGACATGTATTTATTTCCAGGACTGTACGTATTCTGTATTTTAGTTCAAGAACGTATCTTATTCATATCAGAGGACTGCGAACCATTATGATAACACAGTATAACTTGCTGATTTTCAAGGCAGATTTATTGCCCCAGTTGAATAAACTGTTGTCCCCTGTGTGAAGGGCTTTTGCGTCTGTGAGGTGCAAACAGTTTTTGCAACAAAGTTGCTTTCTGACAATTCACAACCCCCTGAATTTAAAATATTTATTTGACACCATAGTGGAAGACTGGTCTTACGAGTCTTGCTAAAAATAGGGGTCATGTCTGCTGGCATTGTGAATTGCGTGAATCTGGAAATAATCATTATACATGTATAGAATGGCTGGGAGGCTATTTGTATAGCGATTGAAAAGGTCTGCGCAAACTCTGCTTCAGTACCTTGAAAGAAGTGTCAGAAAAGAGGGCTAGAGCCGTAGAGATCCATTGGCATCACAGCAGAGCCAAATGCATAGATAAATCCAGTGTCAATTCTGTTTCACCATGGCTTTTAGTTAAACAATCGATTACTACCTTTCACCACCTTGGATATCTTCATTTTTCAGCCTCTAATTAGGCCTCCTAAGTGTTCATGAAGTGTGAATTCACCACTGTCTTCAAGATGGTGGATTTTCTTGTAATCACGCCCCTGTCTTTAAACCTCTGGCTGTAGTTATCTGTCGAAATTTGTGGAAGCGTCACGGATGAGAGCAGTGATGGAAATGTTCCACGATTGAATGGAATGGCATTGTGAAGAGTTAAGTTGTCTCAAAGCGTTCCCATTATCTTTTGACCGCTACTGTGAGCAATCCTTAGACGGATTTGTTAATTCACCCTGTCTATGTCGTAAGAGTCAAGAAAACGGACCTTAGTTGCTATCTCTGATGATGATTATTATTATCTGTTAACATCGTAGGAGGCATCACGGATCGGACTCAACATTTATTCCAGCGACGGATTTCCAGGAGCCTTCACCGTAGCAAATTCAAGTGAAATGGAACCCAACCACCCGGCCTGTCAGCGATTGAATCGACTGGTGAAGGAGCACGCCAACCTCTGCTCACTTGCTCGGCTTCTCATCTCCGACCGGCTGGAGTTCTTGGATGGGACTGACCTCTTTCTTCTGCAGTAAGTGTGGATTCTGTGTGTGTGCACTTAGCATCGCTACTGTCGCTCCTACCTCTGGTAGAGTATCTCTTTTGTAATGATAGCCGTTAAAATAGGGAGAGGATAGCGCTTTTTGACACTTTTTAACCAACACTCGCGTCTGTATTTTGTTTTGCACCTCTCTCTCCTCCCTTGCGTGGCAATGCGAGCATTGTTGAACCTATTTAGGGCCCTGTTGAACCCTTTTGTACAAAAGCAAGCGTAAAAATACGAATACAGATTTGTGGCCTCAGGACCATTACGTATGTAGACGGAAGTAGGGTGGAGTGCTTCGTGTACCCTGGCTATCTAATTTCATGGATCCGGCGTGTGCGTTATTGCGTAATTCACCTGTAGTTCGATTTCACCCGAGTTTGGGTACAGTTTTGGAACAATACCTCCTTTTCCACGAAATAATGTACAACGCGTGTTTTTATGATGGACTTTTGGCTTCAGGAGTGAAAATAAGAGCCCCCGATCCCGAGTTTTTATACCTGCATTTTCAAAGAACATGATGATTTTTTTCGTGAATGGGGATGCATAGTCCATTTCGGTTTTTTAAAGCGCTTGGTATTTTCACCGTGCAAAGGTTTGCTTTGTTGGTGCCTCCAGGAGGTGCTGGTGGTTGTAGATGCCTGTCTATTGGCCAGTAGTGACTAATACTGTCATCTGAGTAAATTTTCGGTCTCTTTTTTTGTAATTTTGAAGCAAGTTCATAGCTCAGTTACCCAAGGTTAGTAGTGCTTAGGATAGTTTGAGCTTTCCCTATTGCTTGTGAAAAGGAGTGCTACTGTCACATGTCATTATAGAATCCGAATACTGTGTAGCCTATCAATTATCAACGCTAGGCAGGCGCTTTGTAGTGGTTCCCGCCAACTGCAAACCGCCAATAACTGGGATCTTCTCTAAACTGCTTTATGTGATCAGTGTGTCGATAGCGGTTGCTTTGATACCCTTGGTTACAACACTGTTATCGTCCTTTGTTTCACAACTGAAAACGTTTTAAGCTGAAAAATGACCTTTTTTGAATTGGTGCATGATGTGAAGCATTATGAAAAGGGAAGAGAGTAAACGAAATTACCACAGAAACGTTTATTTTATACAAGGGGTTGATTTTCTCTCCTTCTGCTTTCCTAGGCATTAAAGACGCTTATATTTGTGAGTGTATGTTTTATCACACTCTGTGTTAGTGTATGCACCATTTCACAAATCAGGTGCGTTCCTTTCTGAGCCCTTGTTATGCAACTCCAGCCACGAGAAGTCAGCAGAACAGCACAAGGAGGGGCTTGATGACGGCAACAGTGCCAGCGGCAATGGCAGTGTGTCTGTGAACACGCAGAAGGAGCCGGTGGGTTCGGAGCTGGAGCGGAGTTTGCTGCAGTCGTATTTGTGTCGCCTGGGTGGTAACTACTATCAGCGCGGGGCTGCCCGAGCCCGTAGGGCTCGTCAACTCTCTTGTCTTGCCTCGGCAGGGATTCCGCTTTCATCCGATGTTATTGGTGTCGGTGCCAACAACGCCCTGCTGCAGACCCTCTGGCGCAATAGCACCATCCTTCCCGCCCACTCGGATAATATATTCTATCAACAACAGACCTGCCAAGCTGTCCCCCAGAAATTGTGAGTAACCTTCTTTTCCCCCAACATCGTTTGGGATTTATTAAGTCGTCTTTACTAATGCATAGCTGTGCCTTGGTCCGTCATACTGTTTCCTCCAACCACTGTGTGGAATAGTTACCTCTTGGTGCTGACATAGTTTGCATAAATATGATATTATTTGGTGATATCCCCCTTCTATTTCTTGAAAAATCAATCTAACATCTCTATAGAGCTTATTTATTTCCATTGCTGTGGTATTTTTAGAATAGTGAGGTCGAATGACTTTTTAAGTGGTTTAGAAGAGCGCAAGTAGACGTGTCCTTCCTACCTTTTGATACCCGTGTTTGAAAGAAAAAAGCCCAACTTGTCTTTGGACGCTGAAAACAAATTTAAGTAGCGTGAATTCGCGAATTTCTTTGCTGTGACTCATTGTACGTTCTCTGTAATGTAAGGATAGTTTGTTTACATTCCACAACAATAACAGAGGAGAAGCATTAAGAAAACGTCTCCCGATGTCGTTACTAGGAGAAGGTGTTGCTGTTTCCCCTCACCCATTTTAAGCACTCAAATCCGGTGTCGGAAGTGGGATATTCATAAATAATTTGGCCAATACAATAAAACCTCTTTTTTGTGCTGTAACAGAAAGGAATGAATTCTCATTTCGTAGTGTCAGCTCAATTCTTGCACAGTTCATTTCTCCCGTTAACCTGTTTCAAGTCGGTGGAAATGATCTGAGCAGTAAAATCAATCACTGCAGAGTGGCTGCACGCACTTCGACTAAAGATGTTCTAGTCCTCGGCCTCTGGTCATGTTTTATACACGACTCCCTCACGTTAAGGATTGAAATCCTCTACAGGGACGGTACCGTTGGCATGGTCTACGTGTTGTGCTGTGACACCACCCTTTTGAATCAGCCTGATTCTCCCTTCGAGGATGCCTAAAGTTGTGTTGTTTTCTCTATACAACGGGACTTGCAATCGAAAACAAAAAAATTATGTAATTTTACCCTTGGTTTTGCTAAAACTAGTACAAAAGGAGGATAATCACTAGTTTGTGCTTGCGATTGCATTAGCGCTCGTACATCTTCGTGATGAAAAGACGAGGACAAGGTAAAAGAGCAGGCTTATCGACTCTTAGGCCTGCTAATTGAGGGAATTTCGTGCCTGACAGTCGAATTTAACTAGCATCCAGGGTGTATGCCATGACAGAAAGGATGAATGTTCAGCGTACAGTTTGCACAGCGGTAGATTGTGTGCATATAGCTCAGTAACCGAATTATCACGTCATGTTGCCATTACTGTGGTGTGCCAGTTTGGCAATGTTGGTGTACTCGATTCAGGTTGATAAACTTGCTTTTCATCAGTGGTTTTGAACTTCTCATGAGTGCTGGTCTGACAAGTCAGACTCACCACTCCCATAGTTCTTCCTATTCACGAAGCTGATGGGTTATGGCCGCGTAACTGGGCATCAGCGTCATCTCATCAATGTCTCAGCCCGATGTAGTGGTTCCCTGCCTTTCATTTTGGCCTCTTTTGGTAAGTGTGCGTCGCCACAGTTCCGTCTTCTGTGTGTGCTTGAATAAAACCATACGCACTCTGCGTTTAGACATATCCTTTACAAATAGTGTTTTTATAACAACTTGTCCAGCTTATTTCGATGGTTAGAAGCTTTTAAAAGTGGCGCCAAATTGTGGGTATCTTATGCCGGTTAAGGGGTGACCCTCCACTTCCGGACGCTGCCATCATCATCATCATCATCACCAGTCCACTGGAGGTCTCTAATCCCCCGGGGCATGTCTTGTGCTTTAAAGTAGAAGATTAGTTTTGGATATCACCCTTCCCTCCACAGGAATGAAAGTCTTGTGAAGCAGTCCTCAGCCACGGAGGCATGGATGGATCAATTATGTTCCTCTGCAGCACTCCAAACAGCTTTTAACACAATGTCAACAGCACCGGCAGCAGCGACGGTAGCTTCGGTCGCGGCCCCGATCCTTCACACCACCTCTTCAATGCCAGCGAACCTCCATCTTGTCAACGCACCTGCCACCATGCTGTTGACCCCCGCGATGAACGATTCCTTCTTTCCTGCACCTTCCACCGTTGCTATCACCACTGCCGCCTCTGCTAGCAACAGAGGGGAGGGAAGAGGGGCCGTCTTCCTCCCTTGCGTGAGTTCTGGCAGTTCCGGCAGTTCTGAGCCAGTTCTTACTGCTGAAGGTTCTTCTTGCTCCATTCCTGCCTCCTCTGATGGCCAAATAGCCGAACGAACTGAGGACAGTCTCATGGCTATGGAGGTGATATACACGTTCGTCTGTGGTGTTTTTTTATTCTAAATATGATTTTAAACCCGTCTTGTTCTCAGTTCTCTCCAAGTGATCTCAACGACATACCATCCCCACCGAGAGCGGAGACTCACGATATCTCCGATGTGCAGGACTTCCTTAGCGCATTCCCTTTAGATGAGGAGACGATTGGATTCGGTGCTGCCTCTCCGGTCGCCTCCTCGACTACTACTACTTCTTTCGACTCGAGGCTTCCTCCCGAATCGCAGTTCTTTGTACCACCAGACGCAGATGTCTTGTGGCGCCAGGGTCTCATGGACATATCCTAGCCTGTATCACTCACTTGCCTTATTGTTCGCTTTCTCCAATTCACACAATTCGCCCTTGTCTTTCACTCTAAGAGAACTCTGGAGTAGAATCCACCTCCCTCGCTACTAATGTTATGTAAGTAGAGAGCCACGTACAGGTAAAGATGTTTAGGGCTCACTCCCTTGGCCCCACCTTTTTTCCTTCTCCATTGAAGAAAAGATGTTCTCAGTCTAATTTCCCTGTAAATTCTAGATAGAAAATACTGTTTTTGATTGATCGTTATGGCTTGTTGAATTCGGATTTGGGTCTTCTTTGGTTAAAAACGAGGTAGTGAAGTTAGTACACATCTCCGTCTAACTTCCGCTCCTTGAATGAAATAAAAAAATGTTGCATTCTTTGCCCCTAAAACTTATTGGGTGCAAATAACGAACCGAAAGTCTCAAAGCACATGTCGCTAAACCGTGTAAATTTTAATGTCATCCAATCTGATGATCTGTCAAAGCATATGAACGCTTCGTTTGAATTTCATACAATTACGCGTTCAGTGGTTTAGCTGATACAAATTGCGACTAACGTGGAAAGTGGAAGATGTGGGTGGTTTGGTGAATAAAAAATACCAGCCAATCGGAAGTCGCTCGAATGAAATGATTGATTTACTGGTCGCGATCTGGAAATCGATCGTCCATTCAAATTTGCTTCCACAACATCTGAAATGTCAACCGCTTTGGGTGGAAATATACTGGGCTATGAACTCACCGACATTCTCGATGTTGCCGGCAGCTCCGCGCGCGGTAGTCTGCTCGGGCGATTCCATCGCGGATTTGCCGATTTCACCTACATACTGAAACTTCGCAGTCATCTCCTCAACGAGTACTTTGAGCGTATGAGTTTGTCGCTCAAGAAGAATTCTTTCCGTCTAGTACTATTCTATCACAGCCTTTTACTCTCTACCACTATGATTGGAATGATCTCTATGATTCCCTTTGGTAGTTATCGCTTTGGTGGCATTCTCCTCTACTGCGATTTCTTCCTAACCGGTCTCTTCACTCTACTTACTGTCTTCAACTTCTCTGCCAACACCTACGCCTGGTTGTCGATCAGTTTCACCTCAATGGTGGGGCTCAGTATCCTCATTCACTTTGGTACTATCTCCGTATCCCTGCCCATTCACAACACCCTTTTATCTCTGCTTGTTTTCATAGTTTATACTCACCTACCAGTCTCACTTGCGTTTTCTGTCGCCTTCAGCTTTCTACTTTACACCGGCTTCGCAATGCTGGAAACGTTCACGTTTTTTCACGATTTTGCTGCTCCTCAGATAACTCTAGCGCTCGACCAAATGGATAATGCGAGACGAGTACGCACTGTTTCTACGTTTTGCTTTTACCTCATAATTGCTACTACATGTCTTGCGCTCTACCTCAAAATCTTCATCTCCCTGCGTTTTAAGGCCTCCTTTCTACGTGCGTGTCAGGCTGTTCACATGAACGCACAGCAGAAGAAAGCCCTGGTCGAACAGACAGTTTGGATTGACGCTGTGATGCCCAAAAAAATACGTGTCAAGTACTGGCAATTGTTGAAACAGCATCGTGATGTGGACAAGTCACTGTGGGTGTTTTGTGAGACTTATGATCCTGTGTCGATCCTCTTTTCAGAAATATCGGGATTCACCACTCTTTTGGACAGTTTGTCGGCATCCAACCTTCTCTTTCTCTTGAATTCTCTCTTCTCCAAATTTGACAATCTCTGCTACAACTGTGGTTGTGAAAGAATAGGCACTCTGGGCTCTATTTACTATTGTGTCAGTGGGTGTCCGAGTCCGAGAATTGATCATGCTGAATGCTGTGCAAATCTTGCTCTGCTCATGATGGACGTTGTAGGGGGAATGAAGTATGAGCGTCAGGTTGAGCTAGCTCTCTCCGTCAGCATTCATACAGGCAACGTAAATGGAGCGCTGGTGGGAATGGATAGATTCCGCTTCGACATCTATTCGTACAGTGTTCTCACGGCTCAAAAACTTCTGGCTACTTGTCCATCTGGTCACATTCACATATCCAGTGAATTTGAACGACTTCTTCCCGCGTCCTTCAAGACTAGTCCTGCGCAGCCGATCACAGTGAAGCGAGAAGTGCAGTCAGCTATTGCTGGTATGAAACTGATAGATGTGCCGCTTTCAACATACTACCTGGATGTCGACTCAGAGCGTCTCATTTCTGTGGGATCACTGCGACGCAGTCCAGAAACGAAAGCAGTCTTCCGTCTTGAAGGGAGAGCAAACGCTGTTAAAGACTCCAAGTCATACGTTAGACAAACAATCAGACCCAGAAAGCAAAGTTTCTCTTGGTATAAGCACATTGTGGCCAAGAAATCAGAGTTTGCACACATTCGCAGTGATACCTTTACCAAAACGGAACGCCCTCCCAGCTCCATGATATGGAATGTGGATGCTTACCAAGATCGGAAGTTCGAAACTATTCGCGAGTTTATTTTCGGTATTCCCGCTGAAAATCAAGACATCATGTCACAGCTGGTAGAGAACAAGGAAATGGATGTCCTGGATAATGAGGTAATTAAAGAAATGCATGCTGACTCCAGGTATTTGTCATATCTATTTAATCCTCAACTTCTCAATCCGCTCACTTTAAAATTTCGTGATGCGGAAATTGAGAAAATGTACAAAAATCGGAATGAGAACCAACTAACACCGGTCTACATTGACTCACTCAAGCTGGCTCCCGCTTTCGACACCATCTTTCTCTACATCTACATTCTTTTATTCACCGCAGCCTATATAAGTGCAACGGCAAAAGAATACTTGACAGGTATCCTCATCTCTGCCCTTTCTTGCGTTGCAGCGGTTCTACTTGCTTTACCGGGCATCATTCTGATAAACTATGCAATTTTTAAAAGAATCCCCGAGGGAGGTAGAATTCTTGGAAGATTTCTTCGGCTTGGCAAGTCTAGAATATTTATTGAGCTTGTCTGCCTTGTTATTGGTCAGTTGCCAACAGCAGAGATCGTCTTATTCCTCTATTTTATTTCACCGAGCAAACTTTTCCGTCCAAAGGACGGTTTCATCATGTTCTTCGCACCTGTTGCCATCCTCATCCATTGTCTGCCCGTGGATTCGCCCCACATAGTTCGCTGTGTCTCCTCTGCAGTTTCAACCGTCACTCTCTTTCTATGCATCCTCTTCTACGCAAAGTTTGATTCAATTCGGCGGTCTGAATACGCCTGGTTCTATGATGCCTCAATTTTCCAGCCCTATACACTGGCCTCGCTGATGTCTATAATCACTGCATGGATTCTGGTAGTGTTTGTAGCTCGGTCCAACGAGGCCACCTGCCGTCTGCGCTTCTATATGGTTATGGAGGTAGAAAGAGCCGCTGATACTACAGCACGAGCGATGCGGGAATGTGACACCTTCATTAACAATGTAATTCCTATGCACGTAGTTAGAAGCCTGCTAGCCGAAGGTGCTCAGACATTGAATATCAACTCTGTCAACCATGCTGCACTCGTTCCACAGGTGGGAATCGCTTTTATCCGCCTGACTAACTTCTTCAACAGCTACTACCGTGAAGACTATCACAGTGGAAAACATGCAATTGGACTGTTGAATCAAATAATCTGCATGTTTGATCGACGGCTGCGGAGACCTGAATACAAAGATGTGGAAAAGCTGAAGACCTACAACGACTCATACATGGTAGCTGCGGGTTTGGATTTACGTCAGAGGGAGCAAAACTCGGATCAGGCAATGCATTTGTTGAAATTGCTACGATTTTGCTATGGTCTTTTCAAATTGATCAAAAAGTTCAATGAGAAATTTATTTTGGGTCAGGATAATGCATTTGAGCTGGGTATCGGTGTGGACGTGGGCCCAGTGTGTGCCGGTCTCATCGGTTCTGCGCAGCCCTACTATCACGTGATTGGTAGACCAGCAGACATTGCCTATCTTCTGCATCTCACATCCCCGCCAGGAAAAATTGCTGTCACCGACAACGTAAGAGTGGCATTGATTTCTCATTTTCATTTCGAGGAGGCTGTATTACCAAACCCTCCCAGAGTGGATCAGTCGTACTACTATTGTGTCTAACTATGTAATGCCATTTGTTAAATAAACATCAATCATATCCCAAATATTACCCTCTATTCACTAAATCTAGCATGAATTCATCGTTGTTTCTTTTTAGCACAATGGTATTTATTTCAGTCATCTTTTTGAGTCGCATTTGACCAGGTCCCAGCATTACTAAGCCAAAGAAGTCCCGATTTGAGGTGAACGATGGGGTTTTTATTGCCTCATGGAATATGGCACTCTCAGGGATAACTTAGCTACTGCATTTTATCTTTCCAAAGCAATTTTAAGCAGAATTTTAGCATTATCTCTGAAAAGGGTGCAAGAAGGCAAGTCCTGCAACAGTTATAAACCGATTTTTAGTACAACGGCTTCGCATAATGACAAGGTTGGTATTTTATCCCTGCCTTCTTTTAAAATGGAACCTTTGTTCGGGTAATCACATGCCTAACTAAATGGACAATGACAGGCATGATTTAAACATGTTTGTGAAAAATGTGCATTTCACGGGTAGCATCAACAACCGAGACCTAGTCGTTCTCCAACACACGGAGAAACAATATAAACAGATTGTCAGGAGGAATGTAAACTTAATCCGAATTTGAATGCTCTGACATTTGTGATACCGGGGCGTGCATTTGCGTTGCAGCTTTATTGCTCCTCAAGCTCGTAAAATTGTGGTTTTGAAGCTAAAATATTTTGCGTCTTGTCTCGGACTGAAATGGATAATACACCACGCAAGAGGCGGCTCTTAGATAATGGGAGGGGTGTTCAATTCAAACCCGGATACTTTGCAGCGGCCTGAGAATTTCTTAAAGACAAAGGAAAATAAAATAGTTGAGCAGAATATATATAGTCGATGTACAGAAGGGCTGGGGGTTACTAGTATGGCCCGGAGGCCAAACTGCCTGGTAAGGGTACAATGGTGGCGCCTCTAAGTGGCCCCATACCGAAACTGAGAGTTAAACAAGTAACGTATTACAACTTGACCTGGTCCCTGTAGTACCCGTAGTAGCCTTACAGGTAGTAGTAGTATTACCTAAAGTAACTTTACTACACGCAGTAGTATGTGGCGATTTTTTGTTTGTACTGCTAACCGGCGAAGGTGATTCAGTACATATACTTCCAATCGCGATGGCAAGCAACTGTGGAACAAAGTGCAGTGCTGAAAGTAGTGTCTTGAAAACGAATCCACAGAACCTGTGAGTATCCTTAGAAGACCTCAATAAATCGTCGCCAATTCCTCAGAACAACGTAAGAGCGCTTGCTACTCAATGCACTACGTGAGCATTGCAGGACCTCGACTGAGAGGTACTGCCACATCTCCCTCTTGACCTGGTTCTTGATGGTCGGCGCTTCAACACCAATGATGAAATGAAACATGATGTGCTAAGGTTATGCAAACGTACTGCCCCATCTTTTTATAGCAAAGATTTCTAGGTATTAGGTAAGCCTTGGGATTGATGCATGAATGTAGCAGACGACTAGGTGGAAACTTTGCTGTAGTTTCATCTCCACTGAATCGGTACCTTTCCTTAGTAAAATCAAATGTCCCTTAGATAGTTCGACTCCAAAGTTAAAAGACCGCCATTCATGCTAACCGGTTACTTTCCCTTACAGAAGAAGATGAAACGTCGGCTAAGACTTGCATGCTGATTCTGTACATTTCTGTTCAGGAACGGAGACAAATCTCCTCTACCCTAATAACAACTTGGGTCCCAGGGCTAGTGGACGTGACTTGAGGATTACACTACACTTTACACAATCCATTCACACACATCGTTGCCGATACTGATTCTTCTTTTTTATCAGAAAGGATGCATACTTCTACAGAAACAAAATTTTCACTCTTTGTGAACCGACTCATTGCTCGGTTTGTCCACCTATTGTAGTCTCGATAGATCGTGATTCATTTCACGTAACCCATATGTTTTCACTTATGGCACATAGAATCTAAAATACTAATTTACGGCCTTAAAGGCTTGGATAACCCTTTCCGACACCAAGGTTCTACATTTGTACATTTCAGGATCTGCCTGTCTCTTTGGGTCATCGCGATTTACCTCAGATTCGCGGGCAGTGGCATGTTGTTAGCTGTGGTGAATATAATTTGCACAGACACTAATTCAGTTTATGCGTTACTAATGCTGTTAGCAGTAAGTTGAAAACGAATTCAACGCTCTTAATATCGACAAAATGACAACCAGCGATTCTGCCTACCCACTAGAACTGGCAAATAAACTAAACAGTGTAGCCCACTCAGAATGCGCAAATTTAGATAAACAAAGTGATGTGGCTAAACGTGGATTTATCTGGATGCATACAACGCCTAAAATCTTATTAGAGTAGCTTGATAAAAAGTATAGGGACTGCGGTCTTTCCCAGGTCATTCTAACTAATAAGTAAGTTGATTTTGGGGCCATGTCGCAATCCCATGCATGGATAGCGGATACGCGGCTTAAATTCACAAATTTCAAGGGTACTTAACTTAAACATACTGTCAATATTTGTTCTCAAGGTGGATCGTTACCATGAAATGATGTGGGCAGTTTGGAAAACTTAAGCATCAGTTCCGTAGTCATTGAACCTTTAATGATAGACAAAAGTGTGGTATACTACTCGCCTGAATTGTTAGTAGACGCATTCCAACTGAGTTACATCTTGGGTCATTTTGAAACACTGAGATTTCTGAAATAATTAATATTTTGTTAAAATGATTTGTTTGTATCACCTGGCATTGTTGTGAACTATAAATGGGGATTTGTGAACACAAGACCAAACATGAAAGAGACCCCATCAATCTCGGTCATTTTCAAATGGCATAATTTTCGAAAGAACTTTTGCCACCCAAATTTCAGTGGTGGATATCACCTGTGTTTCTAGAGTCATTCTTAAAAAAACCTGCGAAAAGCTGTTTTGGGAGAGTACATTGTAAGTTTTTTTTTAAATTCGCGTCATTCTAAAATTTCTTAGAAGTTCAGCAAAATATAGTCCCTTAACTTCGCAATTCACCTGGTGTGAACTTTTTTGACCTTCACCTACTTCATTCATTAAAATTCTGATTCTGTAGTAAAGATTTTTTATCAAGAGTTGGTTTGCAATAATCCATACAAGGATTTCCCATAATCGACATTGGTCAAAAGCTCTTCAAACACTTATGGAAACAACTGGATTGGGACCTTGGATGACGGCCGTAATTTTAGTCGTCTGCTACCTGCAAATAAACTCAAATCTTTTCGTTGATTGCCCAAGGGACGATGTACATAAGCTTTTCTCTATGGATTACATATATCACCCAGTTGGACGCAAGCCACAGTTAAGTTGCATAGTCCTACAACGTGAGACCGGACACCAGGCGAGATCATTTGCGGACTTGGAAAAGCGATCGACTTGGGTGTGTATTTGACGTGAGAGAAACGATGGTTTGAAGCGTCATTCCCTAAGACATGGTTAAAAAAATGGGGAGATGCCTTGGTGACGCAGTACCCTGCAAATAACCTCCTACAATTTTGACCAATGGCGAGGCGGAACACATTAAGAAACTACTAGAAGACATCAACGTTGGCCAAGTATCACTCAGCTTTGATATAACTTTGCATAATAACGCTTAATGCCTTCAGTTTGACACGATCCAATTCTCATATCGTTTGCTCATCGGTGCACTCAAGCCCTTTTTTCCTTCTTCACCATCAAAGTAAGGCTCTTTGTAGACGCGCCTTGGCATCTAGTGTAGATAGTTAATTTCAGTAGGTAAACTTTAAGGTTTTGGAATCCATCTTTGTCTTCTGCTTTTGTCCTTTATTTTCTATAAGGCAAAAGGGCGCCGCGTAATACCCCTAGGAACTTGCTGATTGTATTATTATGGTGAATCGTATGCCAATACAGAGTGAAAGTAGAGAAATGGAAAGGAGATCTCCTAGTTCAGCGACGACTTAACTGATTAGATTTCGTACATCAGTCTGAAACTAAGTCGTTTAGTATGGCCTGCGGTCCTTTGAAATAACTGTAACATTTTGATTGCATGTTTAACTTCGTTTAGGTTACGCGGGCACTGAAGGGCACAATCACTGGAATTTCTCCCAGTGGCATGGCCTCCAATTCATGCTTGTAGTCCCCAGCCCTTCTATACGTCAGCAATGCATATTCTGCCCTAATACTGTGTCTTCTTTCGTCTTTAGAGAAGTCTTAGGGCGCTAAATTGGTAACAGGGGGAAGCGAATCCGATTTCAAAGGACAACTACCTCGATTTCCATTACTGAATGCTAAATCTTAACGAGACGGAAGAGAGATATATGCTGCGGATTGGCTAATCTGCGACAACTCCTAACGGAGGGGTTGAAAATGACGTCTATTTTCGGCTAATACCACAGCTCCGTGACCTATAGTAAAACTATTAACAACTGAAGCGACACTCGCCCTGATTTACCAAAAACGTTCATTAAAAAGCCATCTAGCGCACCTGTATGCAGGTGTTACTGAAGTGAACACACGGTACCTCCTCCGTCTCTCTACTAGCCAGTGAGAACCCAGATAGATGTGGCTGGGCGGAGGCGAAGTGAGAGCAACGTGGCAAGAAGGAATGGACACACAAGTTTATTCCTCCAAAACAATCGTAAACGCCTTTCTTAATTAGATGACTCTGCTCTTAGGCCGGTGTTCGTACTACTGGCGTTGGACGTGGGAGATTGCCTGCACTTTCTTCCTCCTCCAAACAGTGTGAAGTTTAGATCCAGTAGGATTGCCGACTGCGATCAGTAACATTGCGGTCAGCCATCTTCCCAGTTGCAAGAGAATTCGATAACAGGCGCGGTCGGTTCGTGGGTGTTTTCCTTGCAGCACTGACTGCAAGGAGGGGTTGACGCTCAAAAGAGGAGGGGGAAGGACTATGCAATAATTTGACAATTTGTTTAACCATTAGTTTTGGTTACATGGGCACTGAGGGGTGTGGCTATTGCCCTTCCGCCTGGCAGCATGGCATCCGAGACAAGCTGGTAGCTCCCCAAACCCCTATTAATGTCGATTATACGTATTCAGTCCTAGCATTGATTCTTCTCCTTGAGGGAATTCTTGGAGTACCACGTAAAGACGGTAAAACAATATGCAACAATCACTAAAGAGCCCTTAATTTAACGCGAATTACCGAAAAGCTTGGCCTCCTTTTGCATAAATCGTACTAGTTTAAAAGATTTCGTGTTGCCGAACTTCACGATATAAGAGAGGAAGATCGTTACGATTCTAATGAGGCCCATTTAGAGCACAGCGACATGCAGTGCTGTTGCTGTCCTACTCTCGTGTAGAATTCAATAAATTAACAGCTCTAGGTCGCAAATCAAATGGAAGAATGCGAGTGATCCCACAAGGCTAAGTATCAAGGAGTGGAAGTGTTAAAAGAGTAAGTAGGGTTCTCTGAGAAATGATGTCGGCAGGCTTTCCAAAGATATGCATTAACACACATACTTAATAGCAAATTAATTTAATGATTTCAGTGAGTCTTTTGCCCTAAAATGGGCATCTTTGGAACCCAAACTTCTGCCATGTGGTCGTTTCAAAAGTGCCTCATGTGTAAAGATGTAGTCGAATTTATGGTCTACTAATCAATGTTTATACGACTTTTTGAAATTTGGCGGATAATCAGTGAAGATGTTTTGAGATTTTGTTAATTGATAACGGCAATAATGTTAAGATCGTTCAGCCTTCATAGCTGTCATTCCGGAGGGAATCGGGTACACGTTCATGTGTAACTCGGTCAGCAGATGGTTACAACACACCCGACTGCTACTTCGGTGAGAGTAATCACAGGGTTCAAAGTATAACTTAACTACCTTGCATTCATGTTTGCTCAGACAAAACATTACCATCAGACGGACGTTCCCGTTGGCTGTGTGCGGTTCCATCCGTGTCATCCGAACCTCCAGCCTCAAGGTTTATCTGCATTCCCATAGAAGATATTTTACTGCCAAGTCTGATGCCTCACACAAATCATACATTGCTTGATTAAGAGCCAAATTAGCTTCTATTTCACGATGGTATGGCTTAACTAAGTTGGATGACAGATAACTCCTTACGTGCTAGCAAATTTGCCTAATAAGAGGCAGAGTAAATTTGAGAATCAGAAAAACACGGGGCACACTTGTCATGGTCTCCTAATCATCCACGGGAATATATACATATGATGCAAACATGCGCTCCCTCCTCTAATACAGTTCTTTTAACTTTAATTTAATTTCAGTAGGAATAAACTCTCATTTCACAATAATATTTGTAATACAAGCTAGGCGGGTTGACTAATTCCTCCATCTGTTGATCAACTGCTCCGAATGCCGCATGTAACGTAGCCCAACGCCAAACTATTCTGTCTGGCGCCTGTAGAATCAGTCACCACCTCAAGGCCTTTTGTCGACATTATCACCCATTGGTGGTTAGCTTTTTACCTCAAAACCAAGCTGTGTGCGGGCGAACTTGCCTTATAGAAAGCCTACTATGTCTTAGTGGAATGGATGACAAGTAGTTTACTTTTTTTTCGCTAACTAAATTTGCTTTCCTTCAGCTTTAGCTGAACTTCTGAAGCTGCCATTGGGTGCGTTCACAATCACGTACATCCAAAGAAGACAATAGAGACCACTGCATCTCAGGAGACAATGGACAACGCGACTTATGGATGTGTGATAGCTGAGCTAGATCCACCAGAATAAGCCCACTTTTTGAACCATTGGAACGGTAAACCAGTTGCCAAAGCCTCCATTAACGTGGCCAAGCTGACTGTGGAACAGGCTATTCGATTAATCTACGCCTGTCACAGTACAATTAGCTCGTACATTGTACACAAACCTCCTGAATAATTGGTAAGAGAAGAACTTCCTTGGTCCTAACTACGATGCCCTTCCCAGCTTCCTGCAGCTAAATCTCCGTAAAGGCAGTGCAGAACCCTGATGTTAATAACCCAGCACTTACCCGCATTCATGATGGGGTCACTCGCGGAGTAGTGAGTATGACATTAAAGGTAATCCGGGTACTACATCAGTAGTAGTAGAATGCACATATTAGGCCGACACTGTTAAGGTCTAACAATGACTCGGATATACGACTGGTAGTATTGACGAGAGGTAAAAGTCGAGCGAAATGTAATGCAACTCCAAGGACGGAGAGATCATTACACCTAAGCAAATATTTTCCAAAAAGGCGATCAGCATACGGATTGCCCACTCCAAAGAACATCAACTGGCTTTAATCAGTCATTTCTGGACGAAACCTCCCACGCATATAGGTCCAAGCTAAACTCTCGAGATGTGCGCCCGACGACAGCTTTGAAACCTCCCACTGATCAAGAAGCACCTTGTGGCAACTGACACGGGATAGCCATCAAAGGGAGCTCCTGAGACGTTCTAAATGGGTCGGATACTACTATGCTACACCTACACCATTTCAACAGATATCACGCCCTTGACAATCGAAAGTAGGGCTTTCCGGGACAATTCTTGCCACGCAAAGGGGCAAGAAAAATATCATCAGGGTGCGGAGATCAACAGGTTACTGACACGAACAAACGATCATGCCACCACGGCGGTTAGGAGCTCTGAGGTTAGAGAACGCACGTGGTTAAACACGCGCCTGGACGGGGGTCACAACATTGCAACATTACAACGATACCCCAGAGAACCCGACCACAAAACTGTCCGATATGATGACTTCCCAGAGTTAGACAACACCTGGGTCACGCGTATTCGAGCACGGAAAATCATGTAGCGGTCACGCCCAACTCGCGACTTCCACTCCTAGTAGTCGCCATCCCGTCCACGCGGTGCCGAAACTGATGCAGCGCTTGATGGAGTAAACGAGGCCTCGAATCAAATCGGCATCTACGATATTAGATGGATAGGTTAAAAAATGAGAAAATTCACGAACTCGTCTCAGGACATAAGAATTAATGCAGCACCACAAACAACCATTCGGGAAACCACAACAAGGAAGAACTGCAATTATACAACGCAAAAAAATTACCCAAACACCTAAAATGACGTACTTCAAAAGCGAACTGTTCGCACCAATCCGGCTATGGACCAAAAATCACTCGAACAAGATTTGATCGAAATTCTGAGGCTTAAACTGGAGTCCCAAGAGTAGTTGCGAAAATAAAACGTAGTGAGGGGTAAATGGTCGGTTATGAAAATCATACCATAAAAAATAGTAGATGAAGGGAGGGGCCAAAAGCCGATGTACAGTGAGAGAAGAAATAAACATGCACGTAGACACAAACCGCACAGAATGGCATAGGTTGGGAGAAGCAAGAGGAAAATTTCATCAATATCACTTTGAGTTGGTAGAGTCGGGGTTCGGGGTGGACGTCGGAGCTTTTTCAGACAGATCAATTTCCTCCACTTTTTGGGCTTCTTTCATCTTCTTGGTCAGGTTGTCATTCCGACGCTGCATTTCCTGCATCCACGGAGGTATTCCATTGGCTGTCAGATTGGCACGGGCGGCCTTCTTCTTCAAGGCCGTCTCACGCATCCACTCGGGTGCATCCGCACCATCGGTATTGATCAAATGCTCCCATCGACGCTCCACATCCCTTGAGCGCTCGTTCTCCAACTTACGTCGAAGCGCTTCCGCCTTCCAGGCTGGAGACTGTGATTGTTGCTCGGCTGCAGCCATCCCAACTACCGTCACAAACACACAGCCAACTGTGTACACGAGGCGAGAGTGGTTGTGATGCGACCGGGCGCTCGCATCAATCGTTCACCACGTCCGCACACCGCCCTGGCCAATCAGGGCGCAACACAGCCGTCTCGACCAGCCAATGAAACGCTGAAAATCAACTAATGCAGTTATAGGGTACAATGACTAACGCCTGAGTAAGCCCCCCACCCATCGTTAGGGCGTATGAACTATCAACCTTTTTCCCAGACAAGAGACAAGGGTTGAATAGATGGATGTCCCACTTCCATATAAGTAGTGTTCGAGGTGTAGTAAAGGTTATTGACAGACGCAGCTGAATAAACCGTAGGATGTACCCTACGTGCCGACGTGCTAATATGCCATGGAACCGTGTACCTACATGGGATAACTAATCATTAGGAAGACAAACTTATTAATGCAGAAATTTTGGTGACACAAAAAGAACGGTGAAATTATCGCCCCCTTTTGATTAGAAGGTGATTTATGTGTCTCGTTTTGTGTGATGGTGACTGCAAAATTCTTTAAATTATAAATTTTTATAAAAGGCCCAGATTTTAAATAATCTCTCGTACCAGCACTAGACAATCCGAAGTCGATACGGGTATGGCTACTATGCGTGGGATGAGGTCAACATTACTGTGGCTGTTTACAGAAAAAAGATCAAGAATAAGCAGACTATATGTGCAACTGTTGAAGCGAAGAGTAAAGTGTAACAGATACTGCTTCACATAAGCTAGATTTGTTGATTCAGTATTAAAGCGACTTCTTTCGAATGCAAGGCTCATCTTCACGTTGCTAAGTCCATATTACTGGTAACACGTAGAAGGGCTGGGAGACTACTAGCACGGCTCGAAAACCACGCCTCGAAGAGGAGATACAACCTGCAGGGACCGGTTAAACAGAATGTTAAATCACTACGTAGTCCCTCTCTTCTGTTAAGCGTAGTCTTCGGTGCTCTGCTTGGCCAGCCTCCCTCTTCGGCAGCCACAACATAGTTGCTTCTTTGTAAATAATCCTCAACTTCAGTAATTGAATTTTCTCGCGTGTTTGAAGGTATTTGATCCTACTTTTAGGGGTGCATCTTGGGAAGTTTAATCTTATCAGGAATTTTGCCCACTCAGTAGGCCGTATTGCGGCAGTAGGAACGCGATGGATTCGTACTGCTTCAGCCCGGACGATGCTATACAGCGAGGGTACCACGTATGCCAATAGCTGCCCTTAAAGACATTGGTCTATGAATCAAAATAGTTTCATGGAACAGATTATAGCCCTTATTTCTCTTACCACATTTTTCTCGTTTCATATATCAGTGCTCCATTCAGTCAGTAGAGAATGTTCACGTTCTTAGAATCTTTATAATGGACGTTTTCAAATTGTTTAAGTCCAGCTTCTCTTCTGTTGTTAACGGTGTTCTTGCAGAACATGGTATTGGGGCAAATCCCAAAGGTAGGCATCATTCTAGCCCTACGAATGGAAAGTCTTGGCAACCCCAGTCATCATCAGCAGGTGACCCTCTTCTGTAATGTCAAGGATTACCATTTAGCAATAAAAATCAGGGCTGTTGTCCTTTGGGAGCGGGTTCGCTTTCCACTGCCTTTAATGTGGCATTCCGAGTCTCGATGAGGTCGTAATAGGCCAAAGTTGGGTTTGATGTCCATGCTGAGAAGCGGAAGTGCAACCTGTAGATTCAAGTGTCCACGTAATTCAACACATTGTTAAACAAAATGCTAAATCGCCGCTTTAATTTAATGAATTAGTACCATCCAACAGCTCGAATGGCAGTAAACCTAATTTGGCAAAATCTTGACAACGTTTAAGATAGCATGCTTGGAAAAAGAAGTGACTCCTCTTCTACATTTAGGGGGAAAATGAAATGATATTTTAAGAAAAAAGCCACTAGTTCTAGCTATTTTATCAAGTTTTGGCTCATTAAGAGTAAACGATCCTTGTGGATACTTCAATTCTTTATAGTTTTAAAATCATGAAAAGCAAAGTCATTATTTATTACTCATAGAGCACATTTCAAACCCTAAATACAGAACTCACAAGTAGAACTTTTCTGAAAAAGAATACTTTTTTGCTAGGAATTGAGGGAAGAAAAGTCTAGCATGGAATTCCCGTGATTCTATTCACTTGCTTTAAATCTGGTCTAAAGAATACGTTGAAATTAGGCTGCTGAAATTTTGGAGATCTTTTCACAGTTCAAAAAACAACTTGAACTACTAACTTGACCGCTTTCTCCAAGCTCAATAAACAGATTTTGACAAACCCATATAACCTTAAAACCCACTGATTCATAAGGTAAACACTAAAACCAAGGGCAAACGGGAACAAGGTCGAGGAAAAATGTGCAAATTGATGGAATCTAACACCCTTTCCATTTGAGGCTGTAACTGGATCGGCGGTTCTTTCTTCCAGCTCAGCCTCCATTCCCATGGAATGAACAGACGAGTTAGACCAGGACATGCCTTACTGGGTAGTGGTAAATAAAGGGGTACAGAGGTAACATAGATTAAGTCTGTTCAGGGCACGTCTTCTCAGGGTCGATGGCGTCCGATCCGTCACGAGGTCCATGTTCACTGACCGCACCTCGCTGGATGAGGTACATTTTAGGCAAACATGTTTTACAAGGCTATTCGAGCCTTTTAGGTCTCACTGAAAATAAAAAAGCAATGATTTCATCCTAATGGAGCTCGATCAGCCCAAGGATCTGAAAATGCATTGTATTCACAATACAGTAGACTAAATGTCACCCGTCGTCACAAATTGTGCCTCTTTTACAACCACCATGGCTGTTTTTTCCGCCTAAATGCGTCGCTGAGATCATTCACAGGAAAGAAGTGAAATGACACGCACTTCGGTGCTAGCTTTTAGGACACAAGTAAGTATTGCAAATCTGGTAGTTAAGTTTCTTTACGGAGATTACATAGTTTGAAAATAAATGAATTTGGCTGAAGGATTACATAGGCGAACCCACTTACTTGATTTCCTAACTAAAATACCCATTTTACACCTTCCATCTTCTTAATGTGGAGAAGGCCATCGCACTTATTTAAAAAGTCTTATAAGGGTCATTTATTCGTCATTACTGTGGGAATAATTTATTACCAGTCAGAATAGTTGTATTTTGGCGGATTAGTTGGCTAGAGTCATTTCTCATTTAAAAATGTTATTACTCTTTTACACTCCAATAGAATTGCAAGTGGCATTAATTATGTGGAATTCCAATCTTCCGAATTTGAGTTATGCGCTGACTCTCAAATTAAACCCATCCGCACTTTACTTATGCCAGTTAGCTGGCTCGTAATCGCATAACTGTAGCAATACCTACATACCTTGAACGGTTCAGCAAGGTCTTGTGTGGAAAAAGAAGCAGTTCTCCGAATAAACGGTATAATCGAAGTCTCAAAAATTTACTACAGCTTTAAACATGTCCTCCGCACTATTCCCTCATTCAGTTTTCTAGTTACCATCAAGTAGCTGAATTGGGAAGAAGTGTGGGGCGACTAGTGACCCCAAGACCTCATGAAGTATTCAAATAGGAGTGCTGTTTACTGCCATAACTGTGCCATAACCTGATAAAAAATTATCGGGGAAAAGAGGTCGTTTATCAGGGTTTCTTTCATCTCTTTTAGGGAAACAGACACGTCCGAAGAAAGTGAGCTGACTTTCAACCCACTTTTTGTTCCACCCCAGGTGGATGGCTTGGATACACTTTCACCCTTTGTAATGCAATTTTCTCAGCTTCTAGTCAAGCTTTGCTTTTTTAACAGTTCTTGCACAAAAAAGGCTACAGCAAATAGCCTTTCATGCTAAAGTGGTCTCAAAATACGCCGAGATCCGACAGCTTACTGTTATCAGCATCTCAATCCTTGTCACTAGAACCAAATGGTCCTGCCACTTTTTGCAGCACAGTCGAGTCATTCGCATTCAATTAGCAGTTGGGGGGTTTCAAAAAATACTCTTTTAGTAGAACCAGTATAATGGATCGAGAAGAATTAATGGGTAATGTGTCATTGCTGGTTTCGCTCATTTACTTTACCGTCATCGGTATTTAGTTGGCCAATAGCATATCTGTGTCCGGACCACTAATTCTATGCCTCCTCTGCATGAGTTTACTTTCGTTTTGGCGTAGCCATTGTTGACAGGCTTTACCCATCACCGCCTTGTTCCCACACGCGTGTTCCCAGGGCGTGAGAGGGCAACTCCTCTCGGGACTAGAATTAGGGTCTCGTAGCAGTTGGCGTAATGAGGAATATTTCCCCTAAACTATTGTCTCATTATGAGAAATACTAGAAAAAAGCACAGAATCGGCTTTTTGTGAGGTCATTAAATTTGTGCATCAGTGGTATGGTGTGTGTGGCTCTGATCGAGCTACCAACGCCTTTATCTGCCCTCTATAATCACAATAACGGCATTTACCTACTTCAGGAGTAAAATGAGCTTGCCAAAGTAATGGTGGCCTGATTGTGAACACTAAAAATATTGAAAGAATTGCTCTTAGCAACCTATTTGTGGTTTGATAAATCTCGATTCGGCCCACTGTATAGTGCCACCAATCACTCACTCCTGATTAGAAAGTAAAGTATAACGCCATTTGTCAATTCGAAGTCCTTTAATTCTATAAACTGTGGAGAATTCCTCTCCTCATGTAATTGCTTTGAGGGCAAGTCATCCGTCTTAAGATGAGAGGGTCCTTAGTGCCAAACTGAAAGCTCCTTCTAGTAGGTGTGGGTTTCATAAATCAAGGATATCTTAGTGGTAATAACTTCGCGCTAACCTTATTATTCAATAATCTGACACAATTTTTCCATAGAAAGGTAAGTAATAAGAATACAGATGCTAAAATGGTTGGTTTGAAGTATATAGTGGATCATCAATTTCAATGCTCTCAACAGAGGAGGTACTGAACCAGCTTCAATCGAAAAGATTTTAACGGCATAAAGGAGGACATAAACAAACAATCCGGTGAGTTACGACCTCTGCACCGGTTGTGTGCGACTTCGAAGGCACTGCCGGCATTTGTGGGCCTTGTGTCCCGTTACAAAAAAATTATCCGCAAACCCACGGATCCTTCGGTCTCTGGAGGTAATCGGCTTCACCTAACCTAACCAAGCTGAAATCGTAAATAAAGTTGATTCCCTAAGTCAGCGAAAATCATTTATATGTACCAACTCAAAAATTCCTCCACAAATAACAGCACTTTATTCTATGTAAAATTGTATTGTAATGCAGGCGCAGTTGTTCATATTCCAATAGTTATTTAAAACTTATTTTAAATCACCGGGTTTAACAACATGACTTTTTTAGTTTTTCATTAACTTGAGGACTCTGAGCCTTCTCCATCAATTGGCGCAATCTCTCAGCGGCTTTAGCGGTTCTTTCACGCTCCACCCGCTTCGTAGTCTTCACCACTAGCGCAGCCTCAGTGTAGAGTGGTCGAAGTTCATCTGCCGATTTCGATAGCATTCCCGCTACGTCCACGCAACAGTATGCAAATATGACAACAGCTAGGACGAAAAAGACGGAGCCCATGGCTACCACTACGTATATCCACACTCGAGTGAGCTCGGACAGCTCTTCAAACCACTTGCCCACTGGTTGGTAGCCGTAAGCCTCGGTCACGTAGTCATTCAGTAGAATCTGCCAGCGCCCCTGTCGCGGACAGACGAGGTCAATCCACTCCCCACCTTCTCCAGGGATGGTACCGAAGATGGGGATGCTATGCCAGCTCGGACATGGCAGGCACGAGGGATGACCGAGGATCTCGGTGTAGGAGCACGCAGGGCAAGGTCGACATGAAGTGACTTCGCCCATATGCGGCCACAGCATATTGGCGAGAGTTTCCTGATTTGAATCCACAGCGCCGCCCCGTATACTGACTGTCTGATCAGGAGGTGGAGGGAGGGTGATTTGGAGTTCGGAGAGGGAGCCGGCAGGACAGAGTTCTGAAATATCAATCAAACTAGAGTAACAATAAAATAGCATTGTGTTCGATTCAAGAGGATTCCAGATAAACAGTCGCATTAAATCAAAGGAATATTATCTCTTAGTGATCACTTTCTACCTTTTAGTTAGCTTTTGGTTAAAAGACACCAGAAGCAACTCCTTTCAGCAATGTAAGCTCAAAAGTTTGCTTTCTTTTGCCTCGTCCTGCTGTGCCCGACATTTACTAAGAGCGCTGTTGTAACTTTTTCCTCTTTGCCAAAACATCCATTTCATCCGGAAAGTTGGTGCCTTGTCAATGAGGATAAAAATTCACAAGTCCCATTCCTAATAAAAGTAATGCTAAAATAAAATATTAAGCCTAAATAATACTGACAGTTGTTAGCTTTTTAAAGTAAAAGGGGTTTTAAATCTAGTCCAGTTTATTTGAGCCACTTCTGTTGTTGCTAGCGCAAATGTATCAGCATAAGTCCTTGGCCATTCCACAATGACCTTTTGGAAATATGGACAAATTTATGGAAAATAATTCAATCTTGGAATAAGTCAGTTCGAGATTTCGAGATATAAGATAGGCAGGTGAGGTTGTAATTACTTATTCTTCAACATTTATCATAAAGTTTTGAGTTAACACGTTAAATACCGGCGCCGCATATGTGTGACATATTTTGTGGCAGTGCATGATAAATCTTCCCACTTAATAGTCTTCTGCATGGATTGGTTGAATTAAAAACCACAATACAACTTTATCGCTTGAATAATTCGTTTAAATTAGCTTTTAATCAGGCGGGCACTTGGATCTCCTCAAACTGCTCTCCACTCGGTGGCATTACCCTGGGGTCATGTCAATAGCCTCTCAGCCCTTCTCCGCGTCTACAATACACTTTCTGCCATGCCACTTGATTTCTTTTGACTCCAGGAAAGACTCCGAGTGCTACACAAAATAACTTTAAACAGGACATATATTTTATGCACTGTGGTGGCCGATTTTGCTCTGTGGTAGACTCCATCAACGAAAAAGTCAACAAAAAACACTGCAGTAGCTATTATACGTCTCATCATTATAGTATTTTTTGCAAAAGTTTGCTCTAGGTTTCGTGGTTTACTTAAAGCATCTAGTTGTATTAATTGTTGGTCATTACACAAAGTGAAGCATACTCTTGATTGACCCTTCCAACGACGAGTATATTCCAGTTTACCTGGTTTTCTTCAATAGAAACGCAACACAAATAATCGTGAAGGCCTTTACACCTTGGTTTAGTTTAGTTGTCAGTTTGTCACCAATTTGTTGTTTGCCTAAGGCGTCATGAGTTACCTGGCTCTCGCAAACTACCTGCAAAGAGGGAATGTTTGTTTAGCAATATTCACCACCAATGCCCCAGAGTCGAGCCGATTACCAAAGCCTCGACGTTTTATTCTTTTAGCATAAAAAATAACCTAAGGACCAAGAGCCAAGAGAGTCCAATGCTTATTTTTGTTGTTTCTACCTCAATCAAACCGTTTATGGTACGGTTTTGTGCAGCCAGGCCAATTTCACATGTCTGTGATGCTAGGAATGAACGTTTGGGAAAAACAATTTTCAAAAGCATCACTTGGGGTTCCTCAGTGTCTTCGTATTCAGCATCGAGTCTATTTCAACAGTCTATTCGGGTGATTGTGGGTGCCTTATGGTTAAGACCATAATGGGTCAGATGACAATGAACAAAATACTATATTAAAAAAATTAGGGATTTTTCGTCACACACTCACCAGACACAACTCTTAGGCTGGTTAAGAACTTAGTAAAAGATTTCTTTCCAAAGTACTGCTTACAACTCACCGCATTCAGCCTTTCCACTTCTACTTAGCACTCCAGCTACACCCAGGCAGATCTCAACCTTCCGATTTTGCACATTTATATCAAGGTTCACATCAGTTCTTGGGATTTTTCCAAAACCCGAGGACATTATTCTTCCCTTGGTGCGTTTCACTGCGTTTGAGAGCCGCATGATAGTCTGAAAATAAACACAATACCTAACAACCGGGAGAAAAATGGAAACAAGATTAATTAAACAATCTGTTTTTGACACTACTTCAGTCCATCACAGTTTTATGGCTTACCCTAATAAGGTAAATAGCCAATTTGTGATGACAAACCTGGTTTATCTTCTTGTCTATTTGAAAGTCGTCCTTATTTACAAAAATCCCAACATCAACTGTATGCATTATACTGAAATCAATTGAGTAGAGAGCCGTTTTCTGTCCCATATGAATGTAGCATTGAAAGAAGTCCAAACTGACTCCGGTGCAGTCAACCGCAGCTTCGCAGACATCTTGTGCAGCATCTAGAACCGCCTTTTTCTGAAAAACCGCCCGCCTCAAATCAACATCGGCAACTTCTTTTAGTACAGATATTCCACCACCTTGGAGCTGAACGACGCAGTTGCTCTTTTGACTGAAGAGGAATTCCTGAAAGGCCTTTGTAGCATTCGTCGTCAGAGTAGCGTTCATATCCACGGCAAAAATGGTTTGAATGTAGGCGGATTCGATGAAGTCGAGGCGGTGGATAAAGAGGCGAGAGCCATTGTCAGCCTCGAGATGACACCAGAGGTTTATCTGGTGTGGGAGAACGCTATTAATGATTAGGATGCCATTGCAATCCCAGTAGGCGGAGACGAAGGGACTCCCGGTGGTGGTGAGATTAAACCCACGGTGACTCCAGTAGATGGTAAAATTTCGGGTGGGACCACCAGTAGGACCATCAGTGGGTTTAAAACAGGGAATCTCTACTGGACGATTTATAAGCAGCCTGTGTGCATAGGTGGTATAATTGGTCTCAATAGACGACTGATTAAAAAGAGTATGTGGGCTCCAGGCCGTAATAGGGATACTTCGAACAAAAAGGAAGAAAAAGGCGACGTATCTGACGGCCATGTCGGCTAGTCAGGGCAAAAGAAAAATCAATAACTGCTTTTAAAATAATGTTACTGCATTTTTGGCCTGACCATAACATGAGGTCATCCAAATACTCCAGCAAACAATCAGTTGCATATAGATTTTTTTTTCATCTCAACAGTTTACATGTACAAGAAGACAGTATTAATGAGTTGGAAGATTTATAAAGAGCCAAAAACCACCATATAGTTGTTTACCCTCAGATGGGAATTGATAACAGTGAGTTACCTTACAAAAAGGCCAAAAAAATTTGACACAGAACGACATTTGCTTTAGATGACTATTAAATTAGGCAAAGCCTTCAATCTCTGACTCCTAGGCCTTCTGTTTCTTATTTTTT